ACCCCACTGTCAACATCATCCTAAATAGAGAGAAACTTGAAGCAACCCCAGTGAAGTCAGGAGTGGGACAGGGATATCCACTATCCCCACTCCTTTTCAACATTTGCTCAACTTATTAGCCAGAGTGAAGAGAGGAGAGCCCGTGAGGCCTCAGCCCTACACAAAGAACTACAGGCAACTAAGGAATGCAGCAAGTAGGAGACGGTCTTCCCCAGGGAAGAGAACATCAGTTGGTTATCTAAAACCAAATGGTGAGTCCTGCAAACATACTCAGCAGCAACATTGTACAGACGGAGAAGGTGATATTTAGGAATAGATATATGCATGGGTATGCATGTAACAACAATTAATGAAAGAAGAAGCCATGAATTTGAAAGAGAGCAAGTGTGGGAGTTTAGAGGGAGAAAAGGGAAGGGGGAATTAATGTAGTGATTTTATAAGCTCGGGGATAAACAAAAAGACCTTAACAAAAATGTCTATAAAATTAAAAATAAAATAAATATAAAAGTATTGAAAGCTAACTGGTCACTTTTCTGGAATATTTCTACAGAGAGAAAAGTCTTTTTGAAGAAAAAAAGGAAAATAATAAAATACTTTTGTATGTAGATTTTTAAAAAAGCACAGAAAGTTACACATTAGAACATAACACCCTGGTGTTGGGAGGTCACGCACACATAGCAAGCTAACAGCTTGTCACTAGGTGCCCTGGAGCTCGGCAGACATCCCCTCATGGAGTGGAAGCAGGGAACACACAAGGGCAGGCCACATGTATGTGACCACTTCCGAAACTGGAACTGTTTGAATTAAACCTAGGAGCTGTAAAGCTTTTGAAAATATTTCTAATTAAAAATTTTAAATGTTACAAAGAAATTATACATTTCAAAGTCATCACTGCCAAAACTGACCACTGATGAGGGTTTTTTGTCTGCCTTTGTGATTTTTAAATACTTTGCTGAAAGATGGGTATCAACAATAAAACTCTCTACCCTCTGACAGTGTGATTGTGGAGATACAAACTGGAAAATATAATTTAATAGTTAAAGAGGGAGATGACAACACGTGTATATTTCTATGTCTGTGTGCATCTGAGCCTGTATGTGTGCCTGTGTCTATATGCTTGTGCCTGTGTCTATATGCGTGTGCCTGTGTCTATATGCGTGTGCCTGTGTCTATATGCGTGTGCCTGTGTCTCCTGCCCATTATGATCCTAACTAAGATATCACTGAGCACCCAGTAAGTCCTCCCTGGCAATGAGGTTTCAGATGGAGAAGCCCCATTACTCAAATTTCTCCTTCCATTTGTCAAAGTGAACATTTCAGGTCATAAGCATCACACATTAAACAAGAGCAAAAGCTCTTATCTCCACCCAAAGACCCAAAATGTGCAGCAGAGTTGCTGTAAAAAGTTTATTGCAGTCATGATCTGTGATAACAGCTCCGGGAAATAGAAACCAAGACATCCAGTTGTCAGGTGATTCATAAAATCTGAAGCTTTATCTCAACTGATTGTATGTATTTGAATGAGATATTCCATGTCAGGAAATATCACAGAACAAAATGCCTCTAACATATTGTGCGGCAGGTGTTCAAGTGAGCCAATAAAATTCATGGAGTGACAAAGAGGCATGATCACAAGATGGCAGCCACGACTGAGGCTCTTTGCCACTGCTAACATGTACCTGCAATCACACACACACACACATGCTCACACACACACACACACACACACACACATGCTCACACACACACACACACACACTGTTAATCTTTGTTTAATATAAATATTTACCACTGTGGTTTGGGAACTAACTCAGTATCTATGAGCCCAACAGGTGTAGCTGAAATCACTATAATTTTTCTAGAAATGTTATCATATGATACAAAGTGAACCTAAAGCCAACCAAATTTATAAGGACAAGCCTTGCTTTTCTGCGCACATGCCCTTCCTTCCCCGCCCTCTGAAGCAGATGTTTCCTCCACACAGTCCTTCCAGAGCCTTCGTCTAGCCATCGGTTACAGGGTGCATTATAAAACCACTTCTCCCTCCCTGCGGATTGGGTTTTGACCCGCTCTCTACAGAGGAATGTAAGAATTATACGGCAGAGAGAACATATTCCAGTTCCGTTCCTGTTGAACCTCACAAAGCCCTTCTCTCGGTACAGTCTGTCCGTCTGTAAAATCCATCCTGTGCTTAGGATACAGAATGAGACACTCTATCCCTTTCCATCATTCTCTGGCTTCATCTCACCTCAACAGAGGCATAATTGTGAGACTGCAAGCTTTGAGCCTAAACAGTTTTAAATCATAGTGCTGGAGTCCTGTGTGTCTGTATACCAGCTGTGTGTGCACATGTGTGTGCACATGTGTGCATGTCGATGTGCATGCATTCATAAATGGAAATCAGAGGGAAACATTCCAAGTTGGTTCTCACCATCTGATTTGCAAGGGCAGGATCTCGTTTGTTTGTTTCTCTGAACAGCTACTTCAGGCTCGCAGGCTCACAAGCTTGCAGCCAGTTGTCCTGTCCACTTCACTGTGCCTGGGCTGGGATTGCAATGCATTCTGCTGCATCTGGCTTTTTATGTGGGTCCTGGGGATGGAAAGCAAGCCATTAGGCTTACGTGGATAGCGCTGTTGCTCATTGAGCCGTCTCCCCAGCCCTAGCTTGTGGCTTTTGAGAAAGCTACCTGACAACTCTTGAGCTCAGTTTCCTCTTTCATGGTTTGGAAAGTAAAACGCACATCCCAGCCCTGAAGTCTGCTGATGAGAACCAGAGGCAGTGGGTAAAGGCCATAGTGGGAACTAGAGCAGAGCTTAGGCATCTTCATGTACAGTATTCAAGACTTCTTTGGGATCGTGAAACAAGTATTACGTTGGCCAGGACCTCCAGAAAGGAGCCTCAGAACTCACACACAGAAGCAACTGTGTACAATTCACTTGCCAACTTAGGGAACAGTGGCTGCTGGAGAGCTTGCTCCTTCGTTCATGCTGGGCTGCAAGGGGCTGGTCCTTGACTACCTGGGGGCCCTCAAGTCCAAGGAGGTTTAATCAGTAACCTGAAAAGAAGGTGAGGTGATAAGGAAGGAAAAAAGGGCCTGGCACTATTTATGTGACCGTCCCTGTACCAGCCTAAGGGCAAAGAGGACCCTTTCCATGGCAACTGCGACCAACAGACTTTCACCAGCTTGAACTGTGACGGGAATGCTGACCTCCAGAAAGGAAAGCTGTGTTCCTGTCCTATACGCTCACCCGCTCACAGCTAAACTAAGACACAGTTCCTCTTAGTGTCCTGTCTCTTCTAAGGTGCCCCCAACCCTACTGTTTACATAGTCTATGCCTTCCTTCCCTTTGGAAGCTGGTCCTGATCTCTTCAGCACTCCTAGAATTCCCAGGCAAGGCTCTGAACACTGGTCTCTAGTGAAACCAGGGCTGAAAAGTCCAGGTTTTTCATCTTGTAACTAAAAACTAACCCTGGAAGAGGGAAGGAGAACACAGAGGCAACAATCAAGCTTCTACCAGGTGAGGACACCAACAACATGCATCAGGAAGTGGTGTAAAGCGGGATAGCATTCCTGTTCGTATCCTCCTAAGACAAAGTCCTCTCACCCTCATCTGCGACAGCAGGCTCAAAACCACTCATGGGAAACTATGCTGTCTTCAACCAACACTGCTGGGAGGATTCAGTGTCCACAACACAAAAGAACGCATGCCTTACATATGCAACTTAACACAACACAGATCAAATCCGGGAAAATAAAAGGTACCACTCTAAGGAGAAAGACTAGGAGTGGCTCAGTAAATTAAATGCTCGCTATGCATACACAAGAACCTTAATTCAAATCCCTAGGCCCCACATATAAGGTAGACATGGCATGTGTTTACAACCCCAAACGCAGGGGTTGGAGACAGGCAGATCACAGGGAACCGGTAGCCAACCAGTTTAGTTGAATGGCAAACTCCACATTCAGTGATAGACCTTGTCTCGAACAAATGAGGTGGAGAGCAATAGAAAAAGACATTTAACAATGATTTCTGACCTTCATTATGTGTATACAGGGTGTACACACACACACACACACACACACACACACACACACAAATGCATGCAGTGTGAGGGCACACACACAATTTTATTTAACTCTTAATAGGATAGGAACATAGAAACCATGAAGATAAATCTTCATTCTCTTGAATTTTACAGCAAACTCTAAGAAATATCACCAAAAGCATCAATAATTCTGCCAAAATGTAAAACCTTTGTGAATCAAAGGTCACTGTCCAGAAAGAGCTATGCACCTGGTAAGGGTCTAGCATCCATAATATTATAAAGAATTTTTATTATTGAACAAGGAGACAATCTAATTTTTTCAGTCCTTGCATGTAGGTCAGACCAGAGGATAATGTAAGAGGGAAAAACTTTTAAAAATATTTTTCTTTGAGAAACAATTAGTTCAATGTGTCCTAACCCTATGAAAACATTTTTGGATAATCAAGAAATTTTGGATAAGCCAAATATTAAGTTATCTGAATTTTTAAATCACTTTGTTTTTTAAGTTTTTATTAAATGTTGTAAAAGGCCGGGCGGTGGTGGCACACGCCTTTAATCCCATCACTCGGGAGGCAGAGGCAGGCAGATCTCTGTGAGTTCGAGGCCAGACTGGACCGATAGCCTCCAAAACAATACAGAGAAACCCTGTCTCGTAAAAAAAAAAAAAATGCTGTAAAAGCATAATGGTTATTGGTTACAAAAATTAAAGGTGTATGCTGAAGAGTTGAGAATAAAACACTAAGAACTCTAGGAATTTATTTATATACTGTTGCAAACATTAGAAGGAAAGAGATGAACCGAGAATGCCAAAGTGTTGCTGTTGGTAAGGTGAAGCAGTACAGGGAACACTTTGCTTCTTGGTGGAGCAGCATATGCGCATAGTGAGAAAAGGACCCAGTGGCCTGACTCCCCTCCCCCCTCCCACCCCACCCCACACCTGGTAATGCACTCACTGAGATCTTGGTAAAAATGTAAAGCAACAAGGACAGAATGGAAAGGTAGATCTGGATTCGCTTGCCTCCAAACCGCTTCCGTAGATACTCCGGCATCGTCACCACCTGGATGGGATGAAACGGAGCCAAAGTGAACAGACAGCCCAGGGGAAGCAGATTCACAGGGTCTATCCTGGCGTCAGAGCCAGGGAGCGTGGTCAGGGAATCATAGTCCTTGTTAGCCCAGGAAGTCTACAAAGCAGCCAGACACCATTAGCTTATCTCAGTTCCACACACCCTACACAGTACAAGTCAGGAAGGCCCTAGCATCCAGTTGCAATATATCAAAAGTATCCAATAGACAACATGTTTTCTAATAAACATGTGACTGGACATAACTAAGGAGGCAGACGCATGCCCTGGAAAAGGTGAATGCAAAGGCACATATGTGTTTGTGTGTGTCTATCTCTGCAGGCATCTGTCTGTGTGTGTGTGTATGTATGTGTGTTTTATATAGGGCATCTACTGCAAATAAGACAATGGTAACCTCTTATCAATGCACCAAAGAAGTTTTCCAGTTAAATGTGACTGTCACCTTGTTCTACACAGGCAACACAAAGGATTTAGCTGCAGGCCTTTCCCAAACATTCTGCTAGTTCCCTTCTGCAAATCCCAACCACACTTCCAGTTTTTCTCCCTGTACCCTTAGCCTGTTGTCTTCTGGGACCAATATGTCACTAGCAATCCGTGAGCCTTTGTGATAGATATTATTTAAAGGTGTGTTGTTTATGGCTGGAGCATTTGTTTAATGATATAAAGATGGGCTGCTTTTGTTTATGCAGCATTTGGTAACTCTGTGAAGCTGTAATTCTTTGCCTCTTTAAACACCTAATGGTCTAGTAAAGAGCTGAATGGCCAATAGTGAGGCAGGAGGAAGGATGGGTGGGGCTGGCAGGCAGAGAGGATGAACAGGAGGAGAAATCTGGGAAGAAAAGGGGGAGCAAGACAGAGTGAGAGTATGTCAGGGGCCAGCCACCCAGCCAGCCACGGAGTAAGAGGATAAGGTAAAATATACAGAAGGAAAAAAAGAAAACAGAGGCAAAGGGGAGACAGAGATAATTTAAGTTAAAAAAAATCGGCCTAGAAACAAGCCAAGCTAAGGCCTGGCATTTATAAGAAACATTAAGACCCCATGTCTGTGGGTTTCTTTGGGAGCTGGGTAGCGGGTCTTCCAAAGAGCCAAAGAGTAACAAAAAAGGAATAAAAACCAAACAACGACAAGCCTTCAGAAGGTACAGCCTGCACAGTTTGCCCTATATCATCTTTAGCTCCCATACACACAGAAGGTGCTTTATGTGTCCCTAGGAGGTGATGACAAAGCTATGTTTGATCAGCCACATGTTCCAAACGGGAGGTGATGTCCATAAATGAAGGGTGACATAGTTCTTTTTCCCAATCTGTTTCCCTTCTAGGGGAGGGATAAACAGGACCATAGAGGGAGCTCAAGAGCACACCCTGAGAAATGCCATAGGATGGGGTGGGGGGCTCTGAGTAAAGCAGGGTCACTTAGGGACCTTCCTAGATGGAGGAGTGATGAACTTGGACTGCATGGAGCCCCTGCAGACAATCAGGAGGTGCCTTAAAACCTAGAAATGAAAACAGACCGGGACTGTCCTCTGTCGTTTATTGCCATACAGTGCCCTGTGGACTCGAAGAGGATCGAGTTCACACGTGCATTCGCTGGTGCGGAGAGATAACGGAGTGGGCACTTACCCCAGCCCTGATGTAAATAGGGACGAATATCCAGCCCAGCACCACCACGAAAATCAAGGCCTGCAACCAAAACAAGAGGTGAGTTCAGATCAGAGGAAAACTTACCCATCTCTGCCTCTCTCCAGAGACCCTCAACTGCTACAGAAACGCCCCACCACGCCCCCCTCCTTCCTTCCTAAGTGGCTAGGATAGACTGCTGCTTGCTTGGCCTAAGGCAAAAGCACCTGGGCCAACAGTGGGAGAGAACCCAGGGTGCCGCCCAGACTCCCGCTGTCAATCAACACAGAGCAGACTCCCGCTGTCAGTCAACACAGAGCAGACTCCTCCCCGCTGTCAGTCAACACAGAGCAGACTCCCGCTGTCAATCAACACAGAGCAGACTCCTCCCCGCTGTCAGTCAACACAGAGCAGACTCCTCCCCGCTGTCAATCAACACAGAGCAGACTCCTCCCCGCTGTCAGTCAACACAGAGCAGACTCCCGCTGTCAATCAACACAGAGCAGACTCCCGCTGTCAATCAACACAGAGCAGACTGCCAGCTAGAGCTCTGAGTTCTCTTTTTCCTTCTTCACTGGTTTATAAGTAATAAAATACCATCCAGAGAAGATGGGGAAGGAAGGAAGGAAGGAAGGAAGGAAGGAAGGAAGGAAGGAAGGAAGGAAGGAAGGAAGGAAGGAAGGAAGGAAGGAAGGAAGGGAGTGAGAGAGGGGGAAGGAGGAAGCAAGAGTGGGAAGGAAGATAAAAGGAGGGAGGGAGGGAGGTCCAGTAGCATTTCCCAACCTCTAACATGGCTGGGGGAAGAAGCTCCCCCTTTTAGGACCAAGGGAAAAGAGGGGGATCCTGGGGAGATCTAGAAGGGCACCTCTCCTATGAAAGCTCCTGGAGACAAAAATGCCCCATGGAGGCCTTACCTTCTCCTAGGAGCAGGTTGGGGGGGGTGGGGGGGGGAGGAGGGAGGGGGAGCTAGGATTGGAATGTAAAAAATAAATTAATTTAAAAATTTAAAAAAATCCCATCTGCACCCAAGGTGGTTCTGAGGATCCCATAACACCTCAGTGTCCTCCGAACAGACTGCTGTAATCACACAGGGAAGCTGAGTCCTCAGTGTTCTCAGTGCAGAAAGGTGGCGCAGCCCTATGAGGTAGCGGAGCACACTGGGAAAGCCTTGTGTCTCCGAGGGTAATTCTAAAGGGACCTCCTGCTGTGGGTGAGGTCCTCCATCATTTGCCACCCTCACTGAGGCTACACAGTCCAGGGGGAGCCTCACAAGAGCCTGAACAATGTTGTTTAATCTTTAGCCTTCAACACTATTGACTAAATAAGTATCTTTTCTTTATAAAGTTAATCTGCCTCCAATGTTTCATTACAGCAATGAAAAAGGGACTGATACCAGCTCCTTCTACCCCTAGAATACAGTGGCTCAGGTGTTACTCACATTCCATTCAAAGCCACCCATGGCAATGCCTGAGGCTGCTCCCGTCCCTGCCAGTCCCACAAAGTGACCGCTTCCAATGTTACTGGCAAAGAGAGAGGCTCCAATCTAGAAACAAAAATAAACAAACAAACAAACATGAGCAATCAGAGGCCAACTGGGGTCTTGACTGTTGAAATCTGTGGGTCCAAGCCCACAGCCAGCATGGGAACTTGGGAAATAACAAAAACACAAAGAGAGGCTTAAAGGAGCAACAGGACACATCTACACGTCAGACCATCGGTGGGTCATGTTTAGAACTTGATTTGAACTGTGAGGAAGACAGGAGAAGTCCCACAGCCCACCAAGGTGCCCTGAGTCTCCCGTGAGTCCAGCTGCTCAGGAGCAAGGCTGAGCCTTTCACCTCCACATCCTGTGCAGGGAGTGGAATATCGGGAGGCCACCTCTGCAGCTGGGTGAGTGAGGGTGAGGATGGTGGCTTGGCCTAGGTGAGGCAAAGGCAAGCTTGGGGGCTGGTTGTTGATGCTTTAAAAACAGCCCACAGCCTTTGTTGGTGGGTTTGATGAGGGAAAACATAACCAAGGCTGACGAGGTGAATGCCACGCACTAAGCAGAGGAAACTTGTAAGTAGCATTACATGGACTGAGCAGGGAACATACACGGTGGCCATCAGGGCATCTCAGAGAAAGGGATGGAATAAAGTCAGGGGAGTACTGCTGGTCCCTGAGTGTCCTGGGACCGGCTTGGGTTCTTTCACACAAGGAGGACTGCTTTGGACTCACTCCAGACTTGATCCCACCCCCACCCCGACCCCATGACTTGTGCTCAATCAGCTACAAAACCCCCATCTGTCTCCACAATGTTATTGACATCTAGCACTTCCTGTTTCTAGGATTTGGCAGATAATTTATTCCCATTTTAAAAATAGACAGATTTGCTTATGAAACAGCAGATTTTAAAAACACAAAATTTAAGTACAAACAATGGGGTTAAAGCCAGCAGAGTGATGGCAGACAGCACAGTGGACAGCCAGGCTGGAGCCCTCAAGGAGAGCAGGAAAAACACAGTGAGGACCGCACAGTGGGGGACGTGGGTAACCGTGGTGATGTCTTGCTTTTTACCAATAAAGCTTCTCTGAGGATCAGAGGGTGGAGCTAGCCACTAGCTAACCATAGAGGTCTGGAGGTCTATACAGACAGACAGGAAGTGAGATGGCTGGGCAGAGAGAGGATATAAGTGGGCAGAAACAGGAACTCACTCTCTTTTCTGCTGGGAAGCTAACGAGGTAGAGGTGGCCTTGGCTTGCTCCTTCTTCTCTCTGATCTTCCAGCATTTTCCTCTATATCTGACTCCAGGTTTTTTATTTTTTTAGACCAATTAAAAACTCCATTTACAGATAACCTTAGCTTCTACCTGCTTCTTAACAATCCACACAGTGAGAGGTCCTTAAAAATAACCTGTACCCACTTAATTAACCATGTAGCATTTTATGCTATATAATAGGATTATAAGACCACAATATTCCTTTGGGACAAACCCTTTAGTGATTTTAATATCACTAACTCATTCCTTTGAAGTGTAAATTGTCTTAATTGGATTACAATTAATTACAGATAATTTTAAGTACACCATTGCTGCTATATTAAAATTATACCATTGATAGCAATATTCAAAGAAAATTTACTAATAAATGCTAAAACAGTCATCAGTCTGATACACTTGGATTAACACAGCCAAGGATCATGCTCTTCAGCTGGCTGTCACAGCCCAGATGAATCCTCACTGTGTGAACAAAAGTCAGACGTAATTCTTCATGACAGATACTGGTGGGAGGCGGCAGGCCCCTTCAAATGTAGATCCCCAATCTAGGCCAGCAGATGAGACAGCAGCAGGATGAGAGGAAAACCTTCAGAAAGTCTGATTTCTGAACGCCCGCGTTTTCATACTCCTGTGTTTCTCGCTGAGAGTGGGCTCTTCGGGTGTTTAAGAAGGAACTCCTTGCCGGTGGCAGAAGGCAGATATTTTCTGGCCAACTTGGCCAACCCCACATCCAATCCGAGTTTTTCTTCAAGATTCTTTCAACCTCTCTTCTTCTCTCAGTGTAGTTTTCCTCAGGAAGAGTGCTGTTTTCTCTCCGGTGCTGCGGTGTCTGCCTCGGCTCTGTGCATGTCTTGTGGTGTCTGGAGGGAGGTGAAGACCCTCAGAGCTACTTCATCCAGACTCGTGCTGGGCACCCAGCGGTGCTTTTCCCATGTCACCGCTATAAACGGAGAGGGAGGCTGGAGCACCACTTCCGTTCCCCTTGCTGAAGTCCAGTTCTGCCCAGGAGCCCTGCAGGCCGCAGCTTCTCCTCCCCATGGGCGCAGGGTTCCATCTGGCACTTTCTACATCACTGTTGAGTGCTCGCCATGGACTGTCTTCTCCCAACAAGACTGTGGGGGCGTGTGGGGAGACAGGGAGAGGGGGTGGGGGAGAAAGAGAGGGGGCAGAGGAGTACACACGGGCATGGATGTGCATTGTGGGTGGGATGCTATGGAGGGCACATGAGGCCAAAGCACAGCTTGCAAGAATCAGTTTGCTTCTTCCCCCAGGTGGGCCCACGGGATTAAACTCAGGTCTTCAGATGGCTTTACCCACTGAGCCATCCCACCAGCATTTATCTGTGTGATTTCAAGTCTCTCCCTCCCATTCGTCACCCCCACCCACCCACCACATGTTCAGTTACCTCTGCAAAGCATAGCTCTACTAGAGAAGTTCTCCTGGGTCCTCTCCACCACCAGCTCCCATGGCCCACTAAGCAGGGTCCTGAAAGCTCCAAGCCCAGTTCCTCTAGGAACTCAGAAGATTTCAAAGCAATCACATTTCCGTTGAAATTCTTCCTCGTCCTCTTACCATGTAGGCACCCACACCACTTGAGAGCCTCCCCACTTCTCATGTTGCAGTTATTCAGAAGATGGCTTACTATGACCGTCATGAATCTATCTCTAGACAGTACCCATTTTCTCCCATCTCACCCCCAGAGGACAACTGCTTGACCCTTAAAGACAATTTCTATTTTAAAGCCTAGAGTCCAGTATGACTTTCTATCTAGAGACAGGATTATTTTGAAGTTTATCAGGTTAAATGAAGTCATACATGCAGAGCCTCGTGATAAGATTGGTGTCTTTATAAAAGAGAAGATACCAGAGATCTCTATTGTTGCCTCCACTTCACCACACACACACACACACACACACACACACACACACACACACACACAATGAGGCCACATGAAGACCCAGAAGGCAGCAGCTATCTGCAAGCCAGGAAGAGAGATCTCACCAGAACCAAGTTTGGTAGCACCAAATCCTTCAACCGCCCTCTCAACACCAGCTCCTTGGCAGGAGTCACAGTCCCTCCAATGCCCATCACTATGAGAGGAACTGCCCCTCAATTATTTGAACCATTTACCTGGGACAGCTTGCCTCTCACTGCAATTTAGATCTCCGATAAGACCAATTCAGTCTTCCATAGTACAGTGACTCTACCATTAAAATTTTCACTTCGTTTCCTTCAGGGTTTGACACAAGCTGAATGATTTCCTCTGAGCCTTTTCTTAAGGGAAAACTGCTTACACCCAAAGGAAAGCATCCAACTGTCATTTCTCCCTTAATGTTAGAGCTAGAAAGCAATGGGATTACACCTTTCTCCAGGACCGAAGACAGACATTGCTTAATGACTATACCTTCAATGAGTAACTCAGCCCATCAAATGGGCTCCAGGAACCAGAGCTACTCACAGAGTCCTCCGCAGGCTCATCAGCTCCCTCTGGGACTTTTGAGACTTCAACTTCCTCAGTAATCACCCAGACTTAGTGGGGAGCAGAAGCAGTCTCTGGCTACACAGTGTGCTAAGATCAGGTGGACATGAAGTTGGTGTGAAAGAAATGCCACTCTCTAAATGCCTGTCCTTCACCTGCAGACTTATAACCATGAGCCAGAGTTAAGGTCTGTAACCATGGTACTTATCCTGTCCAATGGGAGACATTATCATTTCAGTCACATGTCAAAACTCAGCACATGGTCTGAATGAGGTTTTAACCATCTCACCTCAGAACTGCTAAACTCAAGGTTTCCAAGTTGGTCTCAGGTCACAGCCAAGTTGTTAAACTGTTCCAGTGGAAACCTCCTGAAGTGACTCAGCAGACTGTGGAAAAGCCTTCTTCAAACAGCATAGCTCCTCAAGGATGGGAGTACAAGGATTCCCGGATTTGGGTGCCACAGTGAATGAAATTCCAGCATTTAAAGAAGGGATGCTCCCAGACAACCTCAGGCGGCATAGCAAGGTCCAAGCCAGCCTGGCTATATAGTGACATAGTGTCCCAGATGAAAAAGAAGAGTTCCCAGAAGGAGATCACATGACCTCTAGGGATCTGCCTATCTCTACCTTACACCACATCCCTAGTGTTGTTGGATCTACAGAAGTGAGCAGTTGTTCCAGATTTTACACGGGGACTGGGGATCTGAATTCAGGTCCTTATGCTTGTTATCCTAGTTATGGTTACTACTGCTGTGATGAAACACCATGACAGGGAGGAAAGGATTATTTGGCTTACACTCCTACATCATAGTCCATCATTGAGGGAGTCAGGACAGGAACTCAAACAGGGCAAGAACCTGGAGGCAGGAGCTGATGAGAGGCCAGGGAGGGGTGCTGCTGAGTGGCTTACTCAACATGACTTGCTCAGCCTGCTTTCTCATAGAACCCTGGACCACCAGCCCAGGGATGGCCCCACCTACCATGGGCTGGGCCCTCCCACTATCAACTATTAAGAAAGTGTCTTACAGCTGGATCTTATGGAGGCATTTTCTCAGCTGAGATTTCCTCCTTTCAGATAACTTTAGCTTATGTCAAGTTGACATAAAATTAGCCAGCACACTCACACAGCAAGCTTGTTATCCAATAAGCCATCTGCCTAGTGTTGTAGGTTATAATTAAACAGGCAAAACCTTCTCAATGATTTGCTGTTGACAAGTAAGTAGTCTTGTAGGAAGTTAAGGCCTACCAGGCACGGAGGAGCCAACCTGGAGTCTGCCTGGCGATGTCAAAGGTCCTGATTGTGACTAGCC